CAATAGACAAACAAATTTCAAGAATTTGTGAAAAAATCTTACCTCGAATTCAACATCAAATAGAAAAACTTACTGTTGAACCACATTCAATAAAACCTATTCTTAGTTTCAATTATCCTCAACTTTATTCTTTATCACTTGTTAATTTTCCAGAAAAAATATTTCTTCAATATTTTACAGGTATATTATTTTATTTTGTTCGTTTTAATTAATAAAATAATGAATTTATTAGACATAAATTAATAATCATTCTTCGTTTCTTTTTTCAATTGAAGATGATTTATTTCGTCATGATCTTTTTGCTAAAAAAATCACACATCTTAATATTAATATTCTAAACAAGACACCAAAAGAGTACTGGGCAGTTCGAACATATTTTTTTACATCTATTTTATCTTTATGTAAACGATTGATCAATTTAAATTTTTGTTACTTTTCTGATCAAGATTTAACAGTTAGTATTTATAATCTACCACCACCAAGTTTCAAGTCTTCAACTTTAACTAATTTGAAAATTAATGTTGACATTATTGATGATTGTCTTGATCTTCTTGATGGACGTCTAAATTGTTTATCAACATTAATTATCAAGATAACTCAAATTTCCTCTACAATATCGAACACAGATAATATTGTAAGTACAGTGTTTTACAGAAAAATACAGATATTTGTAAAAGAGGCAATTACGCCAAATTGGGAACTTATACCATTAGTATATGAAACTTGGCAACCTATTTCTATGAACATTCACGATCACCCAAAATAGTTCAAACATAAAAAGTAATTTCCAATGCACACTGGTTTTTTTTTGAACCTACGATCTCTCATAGGTTTTAGCAGTAAGTAGGCCTACTCGAGTCACGTACATATCCAAAAGATTAGGCCTTTATCTTGTAATATAAGAAGAAAAGAAAGAACACATTTTATCGATTATTATGCCTATTAGTGAGAATTTGCATGTGGCTGAGAAATTGAAAAGTCTAATAATAGAATAAAAATGAAGAAAATGTGTCTTTACTATTTTTCTTATACTACAATATAAAAGCCTAATGTTTTTGGTATATACATAAATCGAGTAGATCGATTAATTACCAAAATCTATGACTGATCCTAGGTTGAAGAAAAGAGTATAAATTCGAAATTACTTTTAAATTTGAATTATTTTGGATGTTGATAAATGTTTGAAGAATTACTCGCAGAGTTCTATATACTAATGGTATCAGTTCCTAATTTGGAGATAATTATGGATGTCTTTTAAAAAATACCTGAAATAAAACACTACACTAACACAGATAGATAGATATTGTTAATATTATTTTTTTCGTTATAGACAAAACTTCCCAAATTGAAATATTTCTCATTAATTTCATATAATTATACATCTTATTATGATGATCTAGTTTGTCCGTTACTTCATCGAATGATAAATCTTGAAGAATTGAAATTATATTTATTCGTAAGAAGATTTGATTCGATTTATATTGATGGTATTCAATTATATGATCAAATTCTTATTTATATGCAAAGATTAAATAAATTTACATTCAGTATAAAGACATTTGTTGTTAATAAGAATATTAGAATTAATCTTTCATCAAATGAAAATATCCAATGTAGTTTTATTGGAAAAAAATATGGTCAAGTTGGTTCATATGTTCATACATGGTCAATGAAGACTAAAGGCGAATGTCATATCTATTCAATTCCATATGAATTTGAATATTTTCATGATCTCAGCATTTCTTTTTCAGGTGGCATGTTTCATAAAGTTCGAAACTTGATGATGGTAGATACGTATCCGTTTGAACATAAATTATTCAAAATTATTTCACAAGATTTTCCTTTTCTACAATATCTATATATATATAATGATGAATCAGAAAAATATAAGGAAGATTCGTTTCCATTGATAACTTTTCCAAATCTTACACTTCTGCATATACAGTTTGCACATGTAAATTATGTTGAACAATTTCTTTTGAAGAAATTTACTCATCTACCTAATTTGTTAAATCTCTATATTCGATACGAGTCACTCGAAAAAATAACAAATAATTTTACCAATGATGTAGTACATCTCAATTTCGACAAATTAAAAGATCTTCATATACTTGAATTATTTGTTGGTTCAGAAAGTTTTCATAAATATTTTGCTTTCTTGTAAATATTCATTTTGTGAAAAAACTTGTTTTTTTTTTTGACAAATGTTAATACTTTGAAAAAGTTAAATATATTTGAATCATGTTGATCAATTAAAATAAACTCATTATAAAAGCCAAATGTTAACTCGTTCTTTGCTTGAATGGCTCACTTTTCTCTATGAATCAACATGTGAAAAAAGTTCACGAGAGAAATAGAAAGATCACGTTAATCAACAATGCGAAAGGTATTGATTAAAATACAAACATTTCCTGTAGCGAGCATGGTTAACGACTAGAGATCTGCGGGACAAACTTTTTCGTGTCCCGAATCCAGTTTGTCTTGTTCCGAAAAGTCCCGTTTGTCCCGTTAGCTGAAAAGAATAATAAAGATATGGTTTTGTTAAAGAACGATACATCTTTTTTATACTATCGGTAGAAACAATTTATTCATATCCATAATTTTGAGATGAATTCGTTGTTTTCCGATAAGCGTTTCTGACTATGCTATACCAATCAAGAAAAAGGCTCAGATGCAGATCAAACTTAGTTTACTATTTATCAAACGAAATATTCGAAGTTCAAATGTTGAAGAAAATTTATCTGCTCGTAGCTGAAGTTTAGAAAAAAGAAAAAAGAGATTAAGTTGAAGTATAACTGCAGTTTGAGTACACTTTCGCTCTTGTTTATATATTGATTGGTGTGCACCGCACGTTAACTAAATGAGACGATATGTCCAAACTGCAATAGGAGTGAGATAACTGATGAAGAGATTGATAATAGACAGATTTTTAGGTATCTCGCAGTACGTTTTTCTATTATACTATTTATTTGAATATTTAAACGCTTACTGAAAATAGAAAATTTCGAGTCTACAACGGATTCCGATATACAAGTTCAAAAATGTCGGGACAACGTTTTTTTTTGAATTGTTCCGAATCCCGTTTGTCTCGTCCCGAAATTTTTACGGGACAATCCCGTTTGTCCTGCAGGATGGAATTTTTCGGAATTCGGTACTGTTCCGCAGGACTCTATTAACGACCCCTGAGGTGATATATGATTATGGGTGAATGTCCATCTGAAATTGTCTCATGTTCATTTCTTTTCAAGCATGATATTATTTACGGTTTAAATATTTACAATTTTGAGAGAATCAGTCACGAACAAGATATTTTTTAAATAATTGATAATCTAAAGAGAAGAAAACGTGTTTTATTAATACTTTCACTTTTTAATTTATTAAATGAAAAATTTGCATTGAAATCAACTAATAATAATGAGCATCATATAGACAAAACAAAATGTCTTTTTTGATTTCATATGTATGTGTGCTTTTAGGCGACACTAGATTCTCGTGAGATGAAGGCTTTGTGTGTTGACGTAATAATTATGTTGCATGTATTCTCCAGAATGAGAAATAGGAATTGTATGATTGAACACTAGACTGCTGAAAATGAAGAATTTTGGTTAAATGAGAACGATCGAGACGAAAGATGAATCCTTTCAAAGACATGAGTAATATAAATATCTTATTTTATAATCATTAACAATATTGAAGAAACAATGATAAGAAAGATTAAATATAAAATTATCAAGCAAATAATGTATATTCAAGTTTTATTATGTAAATCAACTAAATCTTATTAGAAAATTGTTTGTATTAAGAGAATATCCTAATGCTATAGAAATCTAATCTACTATTTAATAAATGAAATAGACTATGACTGTTTTCAATAAGTAAAAGAAACTTTTAATTAAGAGCCATTATAAAAGGCATTATAATATTGATTGGAAGAGTTAATTGTAAAGATATTTATGCAAATATTTTTAATTACCAACCATAACCATATTCACCATATGGATATCCATAGCCATGATTAAATATTCCTGCATAGTTCATGGCCATCTTGAAAGAGAAGACTGTTGCTCTGTGAAGATAGAATAAATCTTAAACTTTGAGAAGTGAATTAGAATCGCCAGCTGACGAGCTACAAAACTATATATAAGGCTATCATTCAAAGTTTTACTGGTTTGGACGTTCTAGGTATTATATTCGACAATTCTAGTCCACTTTGCCAGCAATTTCTGTAAAACGAACTCAGTTTTGGGGTTTTTTCGTTTTTTTCTGGGAAAATGATACCTGTTTTCAAGGCATTTCTTTATTCAACTATTGCACAAAGTTTCAAAAATCCAAGTTAAAAGTCATTGTCTTATATGGTTCGATGCGTTTTTATCTGCTCTTTCCAACGGTAAAAATCGCAGCTCTCTACCATTTTCCTATCAAACGTTATTCGAAAAATACCTACCCGCCTTTTTTTGGAATGGGCATTAGTAATTAAATGATAATATGTAGTTTACAGAATGTGCATATGACTGAACATTAGAATCATGCAAAAAAAAAACTTTCATGATTGAGAATTTGTTAGAGATATATGTGAAATAATGCTTGTTATTGTCCGACGCAAGAGAATAAACTAACTCATGCCATTGTACGATTAAAGAAGATAAATGAACTTTCTTCATTGCCTGACGAAAGAAAATAAAGAGGCATTGATCAATGTTTGACGAAAAAATATTGACTGACAGTCATTGTGTCTCTATCACATATTCAGAAGAAAGATTGATTTTCTTGTTCGATTGATACTTATTTATGACGTTTTTGACATGAAATATTCAAATATATGAAATCAAAGAATACATTTCTGAAATACTGTAAAGACAAAAAGCGAGTGAATTTAATTCGATTATTATCTATTTATTTTATTCGATAGTTACAAATTGAAATTGTCCTAATATATATTCACAAAGAAGACTTTCATCCAAAATTCATTACTTCGATTTTTCTATTAAAGTCAATGTCACATATTTAACTATAAAAAATTGTCGTTTATGTTTTTATTCGAAACTGAAGGCATTCTTAAAGAGACTATCGTTTAGTTTTCAATTTATGTAAATACTAAATAAATCAATTTGATGTGATAAACATTTTATCAATTAGCTATTTTCATATCTATATACACCTGTGGGCAAAAGTCTTTCTCCCCTTCTCTTTTTTTTCAAACTTTTAATATTTGCTTTCTTTTTATTATCGAACTAAAGTATAACAGAGATGTTGTATTTTAATATGATGTATAGTCACCATTTGCTTCAATTAAGCACTGTACTCGTCTGTCCATACTATCGACCAATTTGACATGGGCTATTTGTTAGCCCCCATATGTATAGAACGAAAGAGACAAGCAGTGTCACTGATATTACGTGACAGAACGATGAAAAAGATGACCTTCATGGGACTCGAATCCATACCTTCTGCTATCCAGGCAGATGTCCTAAGCCAATTAGACTAGAAGGCGCATCTTAATCATCGTTTAGCGTCCAAGTGATTCATCATGGACGCTAACACTATTAGCGATATAAGGATATCGCGCCGTAGGACTTCTATATACATAATGTCGAGTGTTTGTGTGTCTGTTACCGAGTGAAAGCTTAAAGTTTTGAGATAGTACGTTAAAGAAAAAAACGGTACCCTGCAGTATGCACCGGTTCTGACTAGTATGAAAACAATCTTTGATTGAACTAACTTCGATTTCTATGATTATATCATTTAATTAAATTATTTTTTTATTTTAATTTTTTTTTGATCGTCTGAATAATTAATAAATTAAATAAATAATAAAACTAAAAAAAATCTTATTTATATTGATGAGACAATCAAACTCTTATATTCGATAAAAAAATAAATAAGACAAATTGACTGTTTACCCATGATAAATATTGATTATATAAAATATTTAAATTATTTTTAATTTATTTTATATATTATTAATTGAAAACTTTTTAGATAGTCGATTGATAATTAAAGTAATTATCAATCAATTATCTTCGAATTCTCGAAATATTGTATAATAAATTTCGAAAATAATATTATCATTTATATCAATTTAATTATCCTTTTTGAGAAGTCAATTATTCAAATGAAGAATAACCATATATTATTAGTTATGTTTAACAAAATCTTCAATTTAAGATCGACATATCAATTTGAAATTTTATATGAAAATCTTTTTTTTCATCGTTTTTTTAATTAATCATGAATATTTTAATTTACCGATAAAATAGTGACACAATTATTATTCGGTTGGGAAAGGATTAATGATAGTAGAAATTTCCTTTTGTTAACATATATTGATAATTTAACAATAATCTCTAACAGTTAATATTACTTTGTCTTGAAAAATTTCATTATTTAATTATCTTTATAGAAATTGTTCAAGATAAATCTAACTTATATCTTAATTTGTTTCTGCTGAAATGAATTTTATATTTATAATAAATATAAAATGAAAATTATTTATTAGTAATTATTTGTTTAGAAATAGAAATTTTCTTCTTAAGTTGTTTTGAATATTTCGATAATGTTGAACAAGATCGATGTGTTTTTGGTATAATAGATGTTGATAAGTTGATTTGTGAATTATATTTTTTAAATAGGATAGCTGTATTTTGATAATTTTCAATTGCTGTTAATATAGATGGATGATTTTGTGGTAATGATAAACTCCGAATATAACAAGTTTTTTTATAATAAGATAATGCATTTAAATAATCATTTAAAAGATAATAAACTCTTCCAATATTTGAATATGTTGTAGCAAGATCAGGATGTGTTGGCGGAAGAAATTTTAAATCAATTTGAAGACTTTTTTGAAAAAATTGAAGAGCATCATTAAAATGTCCTTGTCTTTTAAGAACCATTCCAATATTATTATAAATAGATGCTAAAATTGTTTGATCATTTGAATCTGTATAAAGAGCTGATTGAAAATAAAATAAAGCATAATCAAGTTTATCTTGTGCATGATAAATCGAACCAATATTTAAATAAGTATCAGCTAATTGTGGATCATTATAATGTTCTGGTAAATAATTCGCTTTTATTTCAATTGATTTTTGAAAATATTCAAGTGCTTTATTAAGATTTCCTTTTTCATTATTAACATAACCAAGTTGATGATAAATAAAAGCTAATTGTAGAGAATCATTTGAAGAAGTTTTTTCTAAAATATTTTCATAAATTTGTTGTGCTTTATCAAATTGTCGAATAGTAAACATTAATTTAGCTAAACGTTCCCAAGGATTCGATAAAGATTGAACATCTTCACGTAAATATTTTGTTAATTGTTCAAGTTGTATATCATCTTGAATTGTTGTTAATTTTAAATCAATTTGCCAAATTTTATTTTCATCTTTTATTTGTTTAATATCAACAATACGAAAAATAGTATGTGTTGAAAAAAGTATTTCTTTTTCATTATTTTTATAATAACTTAAATTATTTAATGATGCATATGAATTTGATAAATTAACATTTTTTGGATCAATTTTCATACGAAATATAATACCACGAAGACCTGGCTTTTCAATAGCACGTCGAGCAAATTCAAGTGAAATTCGTTTATCAAGACTTGTTGAAAGAAAACTATGAAATGATATTAAACCACCTTTAAATTTACATAATTTTTCAAATTGATTATTTGTTAGACCTTGACCACGATAAACAATCATTGGACAATGTTCTTGTAAAGAATACAAATGTTCAATTTGCTGATGAAGATCTTTTATAAAAAATCCCATTTTAATCAAAATATCAATATTTTGAGTACGAAGAGCTTTATTAAGAATTTCATAGACAAAAGATTCTCGTGTATACCACCATATTGGTGAATGTTTTTCATAATTATTTTCAAATTGATGAATTATATTCATTTGATTTATATTTAAAATATTTGATTGAATAAAACAATATTGAATAAATTCTCTTCTTGCATTTTTATCATATTTTATATTAATTAAAGTTTCTTTTATTAATTGTGAATACATAAAATCTGGTTCAATTTGATTCAATTGATCATGAGTAAATGTATTATCTAACATATGTATTGGTATAAGATCATTTTGATAACGACGAATATCTTGTTTTACTTGATCACAAAGTTGAGAAATTTCCGTAAACAAATGTCCTTTTAATTTCGAATATTTATTTGACCATAAATCATATTGATTTTTATGTTGACAAAATACATAAATTGAATCAATATATATTAATTCATGAATACGAGGAACAATTTGTTGAATAAGTTTATCAGATAAAATAAAAAATATAATTTCATTATCGTTGAAATCATTTTTAAGAAATTTTTCACAAAGATTTGAATCATCAAATATTTGAACAGAATTGACTATTTGTTCAAGTTCATTTAAAAATTTAAGATTACTACTTGATTTATCATTACAATTAATATCCAGACAAATTATATTTATATCATCTAATTTAACTTTTTCATTAGATAATGATTTGCTTTTATTATGCTTTTTTGATGTCGACTTTTTATTACCCATTTTATCGATAATCTTATCCTATGATATTATTTTATATATATATATATATATATATAATTGTGTAAGTGAATAAATAAAATACTCATTCGCTATTACGTATGTTACATATGGTACAGGGTTTTCCAAAATTATAAAACGCCCGCATACATTCATAAATATTTCATTGTGAGAAGCCTACGTTATTACATTTTTGATTACTTGTTTACATGAGCATGATTGTCGATTAGCCTCTTGTTATTGTCAATTCTCTTTCTCTATTCGTCCATAGATAGTAACATGATAACAATGAAAAATATTTTTTCGTTTTTATCATATAACTATTTATGATAGAATAGAGAAAGAGAATCAACAGTAACAAGAAATAGTAGAGATCCATCTTCATCTAAATAGGTAATCAACAGTTCAATAACATAAGTTTCTCACAGTGGAATAAATTTTATTTTATGAATGTATGCGGGAGTCCTAGAATTTTCAGGTACTCAGGATATTTTACTGCGTAGATGGAAATAAATGAAGAAGTGACTGCCTTACTTTTTTTTTCCTTTTCTTTTCCTCCTTATATAAATGTTTGCATTTTCTTCTTCAATAAAACCTGTTGTTAACATTCGGAAAGTGAAAGACCTTCTTGACTGATCGATATATCATACTTCACTCCTTTTTTCGTCTTTTTTTATTATTCATACCAAATGAGTGAATCATGACTGTATCATATTCAACATTAACAAACACCTTATCAAACATGACGAAATTAGTCATTTAATAGAGAAATTTTTTCGTATGATCTAAAAGCAAGTAAACATATCTTGACGTCAGATGTATAGATTTATGACTAAAAAAGAAGATTTAGTGGCAAATAGTATCATATAATAATAAGTATAATGGTTATATTCAATCACATGGCAAACGATGTCCTTGATGCTCTTCTTTTTTTCGTGCAAATCTTTGTGGAATATTTACAATTCTAGATAAAATATAATCAATTGTGTTCAATAAGAACTTCACTTCTTTTTTTGGAGATATTTACTTTCTTTTTTCGATTTATTTTTTTACAATCATTTATAGGACATTAAATCAAAATAATTGATATGTATTGCTAATGTGATATGGCACATACCGTACATTATTTTCACTATTTTATTTTTAAAAAATCGAAATACTCATCAAAAGATAAATTATGACGTTAAAGCTATTTTTATGAGTAGATATATTGACTTTTACGAACTAGATTTTTCTCAATATTATCAAGGAAAATAATTAATTTCTAGAAATGAAATTGGGCCGATTCTAACTTTTCAAGAACAAGATCGATTCGATTTCAAGAAAAACATATTGAGTCGATCCCATCTTCCTTCATTTAATAATTCAATGATGATAATTTAGTTACAAATTTGCATAGCATCATATCATTTTCGATAAGATTATTAAGATTCGATGGGTTTGACTGTTATAGAAATAACGAATATAAGTTAAGTACCTTGAAAAATCGAGTACAAAAGGTAAAAAGTTCTTTCATTTTCCAAAAGTCTATTCAAATAAAATAAAGATTATTATAAATCAATGATAATTAATTATTTTGTGTAAATTATGTTTTCTTCTCTAGAAAATATTTTAATAATCGATAATTTAATTCTAATATAAAATAATATATTTCAATAGATCATATTTTCATATTTGATTATTGCAAAGGATAGAAAAAACATTTATCTATTTAACAAAAGAAAAAGTAAATAGATTTTAGTTGTCATCTAATAATAATATGAATGAAAAACAAAACATTGAAAGAACATTTTTCATAGAATTATTAAAAAAAACCAAAATGTAATTAGAAATAGAAAGAGAAAGTAAATTTCGACCAATAATTAATTCAAATCAAGTATATGTTATAAATATAATAGTTGAACATAAGTTACATATTGCAGAAAATTAAACGAGATTATTAGATTTGATACGGTATAAAGTACAAGATTTTTGTGATCGTTAGCGGATTATCTTTTTAGATTTGTTCCTTTCTTGACGTATGCATCGAGAGTTTGCGTTTTCTACCGTCATCATTTCGAGAATCGAAAATCAGAAAAGATTCGTTAATAGTGGAGATAAAAATATCGAGCTCGAATTTCTACCATTTATTTTTCGCTTTTCAATAAGAACTTCTATTTGATTACAAATAATCCGACAAAAATTAGCATTTTTATGGACTTTGTTTTTTTTTCTTCAATATTCGAGATAATTAAAATAAAAACAGAAGGAAAAGTTAATTGTATTTCTATTTAAACAAGTGTTATCTCAGCTAATTCCAGATAATCAATTATAGAGATAATTAAAATGACCAATTAATAGATAGTCTTCTTTAGAAATGAGTTAATATGCATTCATAGATTTATCCTAGTAATCAATATCTTAATGTCTACTTTTTCAACTTCAACTCTTCGATCGATATTTAACATTTCTTATTATACTAATTCGAAAAAGAATAATCAACATAAGAAATCCTTCACACCACATTTCGCAATCGAGTAAAACTTGAATGCAATCTAGTTACTCTCATATTCTTTGTTGCTCTATAGTACAAATTAACAAAATATTTTGTTTTATCCATATATTTTCTTTTATTGAAACAACTTATAACAAAGGAAATATTGATGAAAAATTTTCTGAACGAACAAATGATTGACATACATTAAGACATTTCAATTTACAAATATTAAAATCCGTTGCATCATTGGTAAGAAGATCACCAAGAATCAAATCATCTTTAACTTAAAACAAAAACAAAGATAATTATTTATTTTTATCTTACTAAATATTTATAATACTAATCAACAAAAATATTATACTTACAAAATATTGATAAAATACAGCCACCGACAATTGAATTTATACCCTTCGAATTTTTTGTTTTTTATTAGTATACGTTTTTTATCTATTAACTTACTGTATATAGGAAGAAAGCCCGAAATGAGCTGCATCTTTTTGTATATTTATATTGACCATCAAATCCAGTTTAAAGTATAAGAAGTGTATCAGAAAAAAAAGCGAGATTTTTTATTTTTCCAAATTTCACGTATCCGTACTGGTGTAATATTTTTTATTTTGCATATATCTCGGCTTAAGTAAATGATAAAACGTTGAATTTTCTTTGAAAAGATGCGCCGTGAAAAGCTCTAGAAAAGCTGCATGATTGAATTCTTTTTTATCTGCTCTATTGATTTTTCTGATACTCGCAATGAAACAATTTACATAATCGTATCACTTCCCATCATGTAGAAAACGTTTCGAGGACTTCTCTGATTCACTACAGGAATTCGTCTATACAAGTTTTCTAGAGCTTTCGACGGCACATCTTTTTGAAAAAAAATTCCATATTTCGTCATCTTCTCAAATCGAGATATATGCCGATCAAAAAAGTCTTCCAACAGTTCCAATATGATGATAAGTGACACTGGCATGGAATTTCTTCATTTTGAGTATCAGAAAAATCACTAAAACAGGTAAAAAACAATTCGATTATGCAGCTTTTGTAGACCTTTTCACGGTGCATCTTTTCGAAAAAATTTAACGTTTTATCATTTACTTAAGCCGAGATATATGCAAAATAAAAAATGTTACAGCATTATGAACACTGGGCAAAAAAGAAAAAGTGACTTTTTCTTCTAATACACTTTTTATACTTTAAACTGCATTTAATGGTCAATGTAAATATACCAAAAGATCCATCGCATTCCGGGCTTTCTTCCTATATACAGTAAGTTAATAGATAAAAAACGTATATTAATAAAAAACAAAAAATTCTAAGGGTATAAATTCAATTGTCGTAGATTGTAATTAATTTTGTATGTTAATAAGGTACGTATTATTTTTGAAAAATAAATAAATTATTTAAAAATTATTTAGAAAAATTAAAAATGACATTTTATTGATACTTTACACGATTATAATTCGAGTTAGACTACATTAAGTTCTATATTTGAAGAAAGAACTCTAAAGTAGTATGGCTCAGTTTAGATTCCAGTTGGACTTTAATCTATTAGAAAAATATGGTTCATCAAGAATAAATTAAACATCTTCAAGACCATGACTCATATCAAGTGAAACAAAGATTCCACACAATGAAGTTTTTTTGAGAGATTAAAGAAACTTTTTTTTTGAGATTTATTGAATTTATATTTCGTAGTATATTATATCTTTTAATTGTGTAAGGAAAAAGCCATAACAAAGAAGAGCCATCCCGCATCCTCATTTAGCTTTTTTTCCTTTGGTTTTGTCTTCACTCTTACCTTTTAACATGTACTGGCCTTATCTTCGTTCTCAATCTTAACATTTTACATTAAAATGAACACCAAGGTCTATAGTAATGTTTCAAAAGATTTCGAAAAATAACTTCTGTAAGTTGTTGTAATTACCTACATATATTTGCGGCAAATCTGAACCGTAGTACTTTAGAGATCTTTCTTCAAATACAGAACTTAATGTAGTCTAACGAGGAAACATTCCCAACTGATCCGCTTCGTTTGTTTCCATATTTTGTCAGTATATAGAAGATTACTAGATTAGCATAACCTCTAAAGGTTTTCTGTTCTTGCTTAGATTTGCCCGAAATAGTGACTTTTTAGTAGACGCATCTTGCAGAAGTCTAGTTTTCGGAATTTCGACCCAAAATTTTGCACCGGTGAACGTTTCGATTAGACTATCTCATATACAAAGTTTCATATCAAAAATCCGAAATATAATTTTTTTTCGACAATTGAACTCTTGTAGAACGAATCTTCTAAAAAGCCGTTAATCCGATCAAATCTAAGCAAGAGCAGAAAATCTTTGAAGGTTACACTACTCTAATGATCTCCTACATATTAGCAAAATATGGGAATAAACGAAGCAGATCCCTTGGAAATGTTCCCTCGTTAGGACTAAAAGTGAGTTCAAGTGTCTTATTGAAGGATATTCTTGAATAGATTTCATTTTATTTCTGTAGATCTTTTTTTATCTGATCAGATTTTCTATTT